GCAGGGACACCGAGGGCAGGGACACCGGTGTCCTGCTCACTCCCAACTGGAGCTCCAGGTACCCTCCCAGCAGGAAAGCTCCAGTCAGACAAGGAAGATCTCGGAGTCTCCCACAGCCGGTGCCAGCACTCCACAGTCTGTGCTAAGCACAAGAGGACTAAATAGTCCTGATCCCTCTGAGCCACAGATCCACAAATCCTTCCCTGCCTCACTCTCCCACTGCTGTTCCTGTCGCTGGTTGGTGCTGCTGCTGCACCAGGGTGTGCCAGTCACCAGAGGGACAGTGTGAGATGTGTGCAGGGTCAGGCCATGCAGCTGCAGAGAACCAGAGCACACCTGGACTGAACCAGAGCTGCTTCCCTATTCCCAGAACTCCCAGCCCAGGAACCAGGGCCAGAGAAACTGTGTCTAGCAGCATGTTTAGAATTTTCCTTCCATGGACTCATTCATCATGTCCTGAGCCAGGTGAGCTGTACCAGCTCCCACTAAAGGATAGAGGGCAGTTTGTCCTGTCCTTCATTCCTTGTCTTGGAATGAGCTCTTATCCCAGGGGGGAATTTTCCCCCTTATCCCACAGCAGCCTGATTCTTGAAAAGCCTTTGGTGAAAAGCCTTCTAGAAATGCAGGTAAATCAATCGCATTACCTTGTAGTGACCAGCACCTCTCCCAGCAGCAAGGAACACACCAGGCAGGGCTGGGGACACCCAGGAATGGGCACAGGGCCCAGGTTTTATTTCAGTATATCTTGGGATGGGAATATGGGGGATATACTTCAATCATAGTAGGGATTTAAGATGGTGTGGCAAACAGAGCAACAATACCAACTACTTACTAGAACAGAGGAAAAAAACAAAACCACCTATTCCTGGTGAGAGCTGAAGCAGAGTTCCACACTGAGCCCAGCTCCCAGGACCCCTCTGCACACATGGAGCAGCAATCCTGCAGCAGGATCCACAGCCATGCCAAGGGCTCTGAGAACTGGATGGAAATGTCCTGTGTCCTGTCAGGAAGATGTACTTCCCTCAGGCTCACTCGTAGATCCAGTGCTGGGCTGTGTCCTCCCAGCACATCAGCTCCTCTGGGCGGAACCACAGGGAGATCTCCTGCCGAGCACTCTCTACCGAGTCACTGCCGTGGATCACGTTCCTGAGGGGAAGGAGAAAGGGATCAGCTGGCACTTAGCAGAGAAAGGTGAGAAACAGCAGGCTGGAAAAACTCCCCTTGCCCAATTCAAACGGATGGAGCCAGTCCCATCCCACGACATCCTTTCCCACCACACACAGGATGCCCTGAACACTCGGGGAACAAAAGGCCACGGCTCTCACTTGCTGACTTCAACACAGAAGTCCCCTCGGATGGTGCCAGGCCTGGAGTCAGCTGGGTTGGTCTCCCCAATCATCGTGCGAACTGTCTTCACCACATCCAGGCCCTGCCAGACCTGAGAGCAAAACCAGAATCAGCATCCACAACTGCCCCAGGGACCACTTGTCCTCTGAATTCCCTACCTGACCCAGCTGGAGGAGAGACAGGAAAGGGCCTCTCCAAAGAGTCTTCCAAAGTCGATTTTGGAAAATAATCAGAATTGCCTGTGGATTTCTCCACATCCCTGGAAGTGTTCAAGGCCAGGCTGGACAGGGCTCGGAGCTGTTCCTGAGAAATCAGCCCTGATGCTCTGAGGGCCTGAGTCCCTTTGCTCTAGAGCCAGACTGGGAGAGCTGGGGGTGATCACCTGGAGAGAAGGTGGCTCTGGGGAGACCTTAGAGCCCCTTCCAGTGCCTAAAGGGGTTCCAGGAGAGCGGCAGAGGGACTTGGGACAAGGGTCTGGAGAGACAGGACAAGGGAGAATGGCTTCCCACTGCCAGAGGGCAGGGATAAATGGGACATAGGGAAGGAATTCCTCCCTGTGAGGTGCTGAGGCACTGGCACAGGTTGCCCAGAGAAGCTGTGGCTGCTCCATCCCTGGGAGTGTTCCAGGTCAGGCTGGATGGAGCTTGGAGCAACCTGAGCTAGTGGGAGGTGTCCCTGCTCATGGCAGGGGGTGGAATAACATAAGCTTTAAGGTCCTTCCAACTCAAACTAGTCTGGGATTCTCTGACCTAATTTACCACAGGAAACATCCCTGCAGTTCAGTGCAGCTTCAGCAGACCTGACGAGAGAGATCACCCTGTTTCCATCATGCCACTCGGCAGTGCTGCCCAAACCTGGCAGCTCCTCTGTGTTCCCTGGCTCAGAGAACCCTCAGGCAGACCCAGTCCAGCCTGGGCAGCACTCACCATGGCCACGATGGGGCCCGAGCTCATGTACTTCACCAGGCGGCCGAAGAAGGGTCGGTCCCGGAGGGCCACGTAGTGCTCCTTCAGCAGCTCCTCCGAGGCCTGCACAGAGAGCACAGTGCTCAGTCTGCCCTGGGGATCCAGGCAAGGGCTGCCCAAGGGATGTGGGAAAAGCTGCATTGCAACTAAGCTCCTGCACAGATGCTCAATTCCAAGAGTGAAACATTAGAAACCTAACACCGAGAAGTTTCCAGCTCAGAGCAGCAACACCTGCCAGTGTTGCTGGAGCAAAGCACCTGCCAAGGGCAGACACGCTCCCCACGGCTGGAATCACTCCCCAAAGGCAGTGCAGGCTCTTGGGTGCCAACTCCCCTGGGAGGACTCGGCACTGGGGTGACTCCAGCAGGCTGCAGAGCCGAGGGACAGCCGGAACCCCCCGGCGGCTCCCAGCACAGCAGGGACTGGCCCAGGGACCCCCAGCCCCGGCAGGACTGGCCGCACACCC